CTCTCTCTCTCTCTCTCTCTCTCACACACACACACACACACACACACACACACACACACACGTCTTCCAGGGGAGAAAACAAATAACAGTCCCACAGGCAGCACAGGGCCGCCTGGGGAAGTTTCCACAAGAGGCCTGACCCCCAGCAGGGAAGAGAAGGTAGGCACCCCTCCCCACAGTCTGGGGGGAGACTGAGGCCTCTGATAACTGCATCCAGGTCACTCCAGGTGAGGGCTTGCCTCATTGTGCTGGAGCTCAGGTGACCCAGGGACACTGTTCGTCAAAGACCCAGCTCTCCATGTGGTTTCTGTGTCACTGAGTCCAGGATTGGAGCTCGGAGGTCTGCATGTTCATGCAAATTGTACTTTTGCTCTGGGCGTGGGGGACAAGGGGAGCAGCGGTGGGGACCTTGGAGCTTCAGGGATCTATGAGATGCCCAAAGAAGCAATGTGATGCAGCAGGAAGGATGAAGGATGTGGGCAATGGCATCAGATTTCCGCTCTGGTCCAGGCCCCATCACTTAGTGAGCTGTATGACACTGGGTGAGTGACAGGCCCACTCTGAACCCCGTTTCCTCGTCTACAAAAAGGAGGTAATAATGCTCACAGGGCGTGGACTCGGATCTCTAAAAGGGAGGGACACACCTCCGGAGCGCTTGCTGTGTATAAGGTGCTCAAGGGTTTTACTGAATCCAATCCTGCATAGCAGATGTTACCCCCATGTTACAGATGAGAAAATTTAGTCTGCACCAAGTGGAATGAATCGCCCCCACTTGATGGCTAGAAGGTGGTAGAGCTCGCAGGCTGTGGGAGGGAGCCTACGCATGCGTCAAGGCTGCTGGGACTGGGGAGGTGGAGGCAGCCCCAGGCACAGGGTGGCCCATAACCAGGTCCTTGCCCATCATCAGGGCAGGCCTCAGAGGGCTGGCCAGACTCTGGGGTGGGTTGGGCCAGGCAAGGAGGGAAGGCGGGTGTAGAGGACACTCAGAGGGTTGGCATTCCCTGCAGGGATGGCACGGCCAGAGGGGTGGTGTGCCACCTGGCCCAAAGCTCTGCTGCTTTACCTTCTGGGGGACGGGCAGGGTGGCGGGTATCCCCTCCCACGTGTGCTCGGCAGGGGGGCAGAGGCCTGTGAGGAGAGAATGGGGCTCCTTGCTGCCACTTCTCACTCGATCCCCCAGTCCCATTTCCCACTTATCCCTCCCCTTCCCCCAGAGCCCTGCTGGCAGCACACGCTCACCCCCTACACCTGCACGCACCTGGGAGATGGCTCCCCACCACTTCTGTGGAGCGTCTCACCTGGACCCTGTCTCAGTCACTTCTCCTGACTCCAGCCCTTTAAGCCCAGTCACCCTGTCACCTCCCTCCTCGCCCCTCGCCCCCCAGCCCAGCTCAGCGGTGAAGGAGGGATGGGCACATACCCCCCGCTCTGCTCTTGGCAAATAACTTGACCCCTGATCACCAGATCCCGGCTGGCCTCTCTCAGGGGCTCTCCCAGGCTCCTGCCTTGGGGTCCAGGAGGCCCCCAGTGCGCCTTTACACCCTCATGGAGACGCCTCGGGCCTTGCAGCTCCCGGCATGAGGACAGACCTGTCACCATCCCTGGGCCTCAAAGGCACCCGTGGCTCCTGGGCTGAGGCCTGTCCTCCAGGCCCAGGGTTACCATGGCAATGCCAGGTGCTTGTGACCCAAAGAGAAAAGATGGCCCGGGCATTGGTCCTGCGTGGCTGCCCGGCACCTGTGGCCGATGGGCGGGGAGCAGGCCCAGGGAGGGGTGGCCTGGGTGAACTTGTGGCGGCTCCTGTTCTCTGACTCCGGAGCCTGCGTGCTGGTCCCGTTCTGACACTGCCTGGCTGTGTGGCCGGCAGGCACCTTGCCTCTCTCCCCAAGTGCAGATGGTGGTGAATGAGCTTTACCAGTTCACCCCCAACCCCAGAGCCTGGCACGGTGCCCAGCCAGAGAGGCTGTGGGAGGCAGGGATGGGGGTGAACTTAGGGGTGCAGCACTGGAATGGGTCCACACTTGGTCATTGTCCTTGTGGCTCCATCTTAATAACCCAGTAACAAGGAGCCCAACATCAGGTGCTTATTTGTTGTTCATTCATTCGGCTCCTTTAAGAAACACTTATTGAGCACCGACTGTATGCCGGGCACTGTGTCAGGTTCGGCACAAGTGAGGTGAGGAAGGTGTGGTGCTGGTGCTCCCACCTGATTTGGGGGTGGGGGGGCAGAAACAAGTATGGCCGAGAGAGTCAGGGGAGGCAGGGGCGACGGTTAGGAGACTGGCTTTGGAGTCAGCCCCAATCAGTTCAAATCCTGGCTGAGACCCAGAGAAATATTTTTTAAATAGATTTTTTTTATTGATTTCAGAGAGGAAAGGAGAGGGAGAGAGAGATAGAAACATTAATGAGAATCATTGATCGGCTGCCTCCTGCAATCCCGGGCATGTGCCCTAACGGGACTCTAACTGTGACCTCCTGGCTCCACCACTGAGCCAGGCCAGCCGGGCCCAGAGAAATCCTTATTTACCATGCACCTCAGTGCCCTCTGCCAGGGGCTGTTCACAGGGTTGCTGTGAAATTTAACTAAAATAATCCATGGAAAATGCTGCATGAAGTAGCTCCCAGTAACCGATGCTGTGTAATGAGAGGGACCGCAGTGGAGGTGCGGGAAAAGTGCCGCGGCTGATGAGCACAGAGGCATGGTGCCAGCACACTGGGGAGCCCTGGTCCTGTCCGGTTTCCTGCTGGGGTCCAAGAGACCCCTTCAGTGCCCGGGGTGGCTGCCCATGGATGTGCCTCAGTTTACCATCTCTCCCCTCATACCCCCAGTTAATGGCTGCTGCAGAGGCCACCATTGTCTCAGATGTCCCCGTCGCAGCTGTGAGGACATACTCCACACACTCTGCTGGACAGGGAGCTGGCGCGTGGCAGGGCTACACGTGTCCACTCCCCCTTCCTCAGCACCCGGGCCTGGGTTCCATGGCGTGGCCTGGGGCACCTGGCCCGTCCTGGCAGGCAGGCCCTTGGCACCTCCTCTCCACTCAGTGCAGAAGACATTCTTTTAAGGGGTGGCGAGCGGTGTTGATGGGCTCAGCTGGGTAGATGTCGGCCCTGCAGCAGCAGGAGAAGAGGGGTGTTTTTGCAGGGCCAGATGGGGCATTGGCAGCGAGCTGCTTCCTCCAGCTGCTGGCAGCTGGCCATCCAGGTGGCGGGGGCCGGAAAGGGAGGAATCAGGACCCGAACATTCGGGTGTGGGGAGGCCTGGGTGCCAGGGTGGGACACAGGAGAAGTTCTGGGAAGCACTTATGGGAACGTCCCCAGAGGAGCCCTCCAGGCGCCCTGGGCTGGATGGCAGGTCCCAGCAGCCTCCGGGGGACCTGAATCACCAGGGCGTAGCCATGAGCCCATTGAGACTTGGGGATCTACAGTGTCAGTTGGAGTTGATCTCTGTGCCCAACAATGGGGTCCCGAAGCACCAAGCCTCTTGAGAAGGCTTCTCCCAATGGAGCCGGAGCCCAGCGCAGCAGGGGTCCTGGTTGACTGACCTCAACTGGCCGCACCCCTGGGGTCGGGTCGGGACTGGTTCCTGGATGGGATTAGTTCAAGCACAGGCAGAGAAGCCCTCGTCCACGGCCCCCTCCTCACTGCTGCTCCCTCCCCTGAAGCCCGGGGCGTTTAGAAGGGCTGGGGCGGCACCGTGAAGGGGGGGGGGGCATGCTTCCCTCTCCTCTGTCGTCCAAGCTGAAGAGTCAGATTCTCTCTCCCCCTCGCCTCCCCGCCTTCCTCCCTCCTGTTCTCTTCGGCTAAGTGGTCCCGAGATGGATTGTAAAGGTGCCTGGCGAGTCAGAGTTTAGAGATGGAAGGGACCGACTGAGCCATCAAGCCCATCTCCCTCCTGAGTTCAGGCGGAAAATAGGAGACAACAATAAACAGTTTTATTGGGATATTAATTTAGGCGCCCGAAGGCCTTGACTTGTGTCTCTTAATGCAATGCAGTGGATGCTTCCCTTCCTGCTAATGTAATAACGGCCATCCTGTGGGCAGTCGGTTTGCATGATGGCTTTTGTCCCCCTCCTTTTCCCACGGAAGGTCCAACTGGAGTTCCGGAAGAGGTGGGAGCGCTGGCGGCTCGAGCGCCTGCACATGCAGAGGGACAGCAGCATGAAGCCCCTGCAGTGTCCCACCAGCAGCCTGAGCAGCGGGGGCACAGTGGGGAGCAGCGTGTACTCCGCCACCTGCCAGGCCTCCTGCAGCTAAGCCTGCGGCACCGCCCTCCCAGGTGGGGGAACACCCTCCCGGATGGGGCCGGGGAAGGGAGGGACAGCGGCTCTCAAACACCCCCCCTCCCCCTGCTGCCCCTTCCCCAACCCATCAGACAGGCAAATGGGCAATGCCTCCGGGACGCGGACACATTTTCTCTGAGGAGAAGCAGCTGCTAATTTGATCACTGTGGCGGGAAGAGAGGAAAAGCTATTGCTGCTAAAATGAGGATCTCTTCCCGTTAAGCCACAGGCCCCTGGGCTTCCCCCAGACAGCAGCAAATCAGCCCCAGACTCAAACTTGAGGTCAATGGCTTATTAGTGGGACTGCGGCTGTCGGAGGAGGTGGTCCTGAGAGAGGCGGACGTAACCTCAGCCAGACGAGAGCTGGGTAATGCAGCTGCCGCCGCCTCGGGTGGGGGCCCCAGCCCATCGGCCTCCTCGGTCAGGGATGATGTGCATGTGTCCGGGTCACTGGTTCCCCTCAGCTGCCCCTCAGCTTCCCACCAGCTTCTCTTTGCAGAGTTTGTTGGGGCTGCGACCAGCAGCTGTTTTTAGAAATGGCTGCAGGTCATGTCGAGAAGATGCCTGCGGGTTTCTTCGCTGCCGCCCACTTCTCCTGGGTGTCTCTCTGAGTTGCCTTGGTGCCGGCCCCTGCTCCCCACTCCCGAGGAGCCCGGCCCTGTGCATGAGTCTCTTCTGGAGACGCTCAGGAGCCCTCTGGGTTCCCCTAGGAGCTCCAACAACATCCACGTCAGGGACTTCAATTACCCGCCACTGACGGAGACCCAGGGGCCGAGTGGGTGCATGCACCACCCTGTGGAAACGCTCTGACTTCTGACCAGGTTCCGTGTCTGGCATGGGAGTTTGGGTGCCTCCTCTAACTTTAGGAAATGGGACATCTTGTTGGACAACTGCCAGGCCCCACTGTTCCCATGGAGACAGGCTTCCCCTGCTCTGGGTTTCCTCCCTCTGAAATCCCCGCACTGGGGAGCTTGTATAGACTCCATCCACTTTTCTTCATTGCTGTGAATAGTCGATGTGCAAATGTGCCATTCTGGTCTCTCCCACCTGATGAAAACAAGAACTAAACCGTGGTGGTGGTGGTGATGTTGTTGGGGGGCTGAGGGGGAGGTTGTCACTGATTGGACTCCTCCACACTCAGAGCCAATGAATGTTTGCCCTGCTCCGGTCTCATCCCATAAGTCATGCGCAGCAGTAACCTATTACTCCTGCCACAGCCACGATGAGAAAGCAGACACGTAGCAGCACCATAGATTCCCAGAAAAGGGGGAGCCAGCCACCCTGGGAGGCTGGTGACGGCATGGATGGGTGCCGAGGAACTTTCCAGCAGGACAGACCTCTCTGGAGTCCCGACCTCCTGGGAGAGCTGAGGGAGAGGCTTCCGATGAACTGCTGTATGAGCCCATCTCTCCCTCCTTCTCTGGTTTAAGTGTGTGTGTGGGGCCCCTCCCCCAAAACCTTGTACCAGACACGTTCTCACCAGAGGCATGTGACATGCAGGGAAAATAATAATGGGACATAAAACACGCCAAGCAGAAAATGTCTTATACCTCAGCTTCAGCGAAGTGTTGTGTCTATGTTAATAGGGAAGCTGGGCCTCGGGCTAAAGAACTGTGCGCACTGCCTCCTCGATGGTGGGGACAGGGGCAGGCCCGCCTCCCCGGAGTCAGGGCAGCCTTCCTGGCCAACGGGCACCACCCGTTGACTCTCTTTCTGGAGTGGGGACGGGTGATGAGCACTGGGGTGTTGATGGGGGTACAGCTCTGGTGCAAGCATTTGAGACTATTGATACACTGCACAGCAACAAAGAAAGAGACACATTGGTATTTTCTGCAAGAAATAAGCTGTTGAGGGGAGACAGTGTTTAGTTAGGGGGCACCTGGGAAGCTCAGGCAGTTTGGTAAGCACAGTCCTTTTCCCGGCTGGTACTGGCGATTCCTGATTTCAGAAGGCTCGTCACGCCCCCGTATCCCAAGCCTTTTAACACCGAGGGGCTTTTTCCTTCTTGGATACTTACCAGATACTGAACTGAAGAAAATATTTTCTTTGCGCCAAGACCCACACTATTAATATTCATTTGAACAGCGGGGCACTCCTTCCAAAGCTGTTCCCAAACTTTCCTAAATGAAAAACAGTTCTAACAGACCCGGGAACCATCGATGCAGTGGACTCCGGAATCCACCAGCTGTTTGCATGCCTGATGCTCTGGGTCTGGAGCTTGCTGAGCACACCCTTGCCTGCCTCTGTGCTGAGGGAATTGCTGCTGACCAGCAGGGTGAGGGCGCAGGGAGCTGAGCAGCCCTCAAGGTCTGGATTCAGCACTCTGGCCAGCTCCCTCGACTTGTGAGGGGCTTCAATCCCTCAGCCTGTCCTTGCCATTTCAGTCTTTGGAGCAGCTAAACCACAGAACTGAATCAAACCACATGTTGCAACGTTTCCTTCCCTTTCAAAGGCCTTTACAGGTTGTGGCATGATTTTCGATTGCTTCAATGCAGTTCTTGCTGAGCACCACCCCGGTGGAGTTCTCCGGGACTCAAGAGCAGTAAAGACCTTGGAGAGCCCGCCTGCCTGAGCTGCAGTGAGGAGGGCGGCTGGCAGAGCTGACCGGCCCAAAGTCACAGTGCTAGATGGTGGCTGAGCTGGGCCAGGACCCCGGCCAGCTCCTGCCTCTCGACCAGTGAGGCCTCTAGCACGGATAGGTGAAAAACATAAATGGCTACACAGATGCTCTCAGTAAAATTTAGCTGTTATCTGGGTTTCCGTTAGAGAGCAAACAGCAGCAAATGTAGGTGCCATGTCCGCGGTGACTTATTTTACTGAGACAAGGATAGAGTGCGCTTTATTATCTCTATGCCATACTTCACTCATCCTTGTCTTAAAATTAAGGAATGGAATGCACAAGGGACGCATACGCATAGAAGCAACGACTGGGCCATCTCACCTCGCAAACCCAGCGCTCTCCCATGGCCTGGCTTCACGTTTCCTGCTGCCCCTGCACTTGTGTGAGAAGTACTGGCAGACACACAGAGGGGACTGAAGGAGCCCTAGGGAAGGTCTTGGCCCTCTTTTGTTTTCTGCAGTGCTCCCTGAAGTGGGAGAAGACCAGCCAACTGGGCAACTTTAGCCGGGCAAAGATGGCACAGCCACCACGAAGGGCAAATAGAGTGAGTTCACGTCCGTGCCCAGCGAGGCTCGGTCACCTCATCCATGTGGGCTGTTTCAGCAGCTTCCATCTCCTGGTCCTCCGTCTCTTCCACAACGGAAGAACACTCGTGTGTGTGTGTGTGTGTGTGTGCATGCAAGTGTGTGTGTGGTCCTGCACATAGCAGCATAAAGTTAGGAGGTGATGAATCTAGAATCTTCCCACCCACTGTGAAGGTTATGGGACCACACAACCCCGGGCGAGGACGTGTGGGAGTCTGAGCGATAGATGCTTCCTCTCCATGCGCAGACAGCGCTCCCATTATTGCTAATGCCTGCTACGTGCTCCGGGAAGGCAAAATCTATTCCAAAGGTTTATTTTCCCTCCGCTGAATTGATTCTAATCTTCAGTGCTGACCCCGCTTTGGCTCCTACAAGGCAAACTATGAAAATCCTCCCAATATGTCAGCTTACTCTGCTAAGACAACTATGTGAATGACATTCTAAATATTCAACAGAAACCAAATTAGTATCGTCTCTTTTTCTTCCTCTTTTCGCTGGAGCAAGTTTTCTTGGGAAGCAACATGCGCAGAGGGAGAAACTTCTGCAAGCGACCGCACCATGCCCTGCAGTGTTACCTGCTGGCCCCAAGCACTGGCCCAGCACCAGGAAGCGTTGTTAAGCAGTGTAATTTGAAACCCTTTACTTAATGCCGCATGCGTCTACAGTATCTATAATTACTTCTGCTCTGTCAATGGCTACAGGTTGGCAGGAAGCAGATAAGAAGAATTATTTTCCCATTAACTCCTCCAGGTCTCTTGGACTTTGCCTGCATCTGAATCTGTCTGAGAGGAGTTTTCTCTCCTCCCCTTGGTCATTTTAGCCCGTTTTCAGGACCTCATCCAGCAGCTCTGCAATTCCCTCTGATGCATCCAACCTCTTCTCCACCCCCACGACTCCCTCCCTCAGCCCCTCCCCACAGTGAGCTCCCCTCACTCCTCCCCTCAGAGGGAGTGGACCCTGCTCGCCATGCTGTGAATGCCTTTCTCTCAGCTATGACCAATTTAGGGGTGCAGTTGGGAGGGAGGTGCTACCAGGCTGACAGTGATGCACCGAGTTCCCCACTGGGCACTGGGCGCAACAAGGAGCGCGGCCCCCAGTGGCTCGGATCCGAACTTGCATGGGGGTCGTGCAATCTTCCTGAAGGGGCCTGTCAAAACTATCAGTAATTGTCAACCCGACAACCTAGCATGACTAATGATCACTGTGTCCCAGCAGTCGGCAGGCGGAAAACAGACAAACGAGGGTATTTGGGTGTGGGCAGGAGAACTCCTGCCAAGCCTGGGACATGGGACACCTTGCTGGCTTCTTTCCCTGGGAGCCAGTGGGTTGATCGGTCGGGGCCAGATTCAGACAAACAGATGGGGCTGTGTCTTGCCCAACGGTTCACACTTCACTTCCAAACCTGCAGTTCTTCTAAGCTTCTCCCACTAAAAGTACTCACATCTTCCAAGCAGATAAACCTCAACATCCCCTTGGTTTGGGCGAGGGTTTGATGGGATCTTTACATGCACTGAGAGAGGTGAGCCAAGCTTGCTGGAGGGACAATGCTTTTGGTCGGTCTTCAGTGCTTTGAGGGGATGGTTGCTCCTCATTCATGTCTCAATAAGATAATTGTCATGCAATTTCTTAATGTACAGATTCATGTAAAATGTGACCTGCATCCATAGGTAGCAAATGTGCCTGGTGTGTAATCCCTTGTACAGATGTGAACGGGCTCCGGCTCTTTCTTAATTGGCCTGGCAAACCCAATAAAAGCCTGTCACCACTGTGTCTCTTGCTCCTCTGTCGGGAGAGGAAATTTTCTGCAGTGTCAACCGAGGTGACTCATGGTGCAGCAGGAAAACACAAAAG